TATAATAAATATATTAATCAATATTAATATATTATAATCGGGTTGTCGTGTCGGGTTCGAGTTGAGAGCCTCAACCCTAACCCGACCAATTTACTATCGTGTCGGGTTCGTGTCAACCCGTATATATAATCGAGATGAAATATTTGACTCAAACCCAATTATTTCGTATCTGGTCAATTTTTTTACAGCTCTCTCTACGTGTGATGTGTACGGTTATTTATATATTAATTCTTATTTTGTGTCAACAGGTAACTTAAATTTCGATCACCGGTATCATATAATTCATAATTATTTTCATATTATCTAACGGAACTATTTAAATTATTAATTTGGCATATAAATATGTATATATTAAAAATAGCATACTATCACTGACTGAAGAATTCATTCCACGCATACTAAAAAAATTTATGTCTCGTTACATAATCTGTTCCCTTTTAATAAATGTAGTTGTGGGAGATAAAAAGACGGATTTGCCCTTGACATATGTATATATATATATATATATATCCACTTGTATTAATTATCTGACCCATAATTAATGTATCAACTGAAATATTATCTGACGTTGCATGAATGCTATTAGTTAACGCTGTGTTTGTTTGTGTTTTGTCCCAATTTTTTTACATCAAGTAATCTACATAACTATACTTTATTGGTCACTATCTATTTTATTATTTTGGAATATCCTTAGTCAATACATTTATTTTTAATTCAGTATATATGGTCTCTATAATAAGAAAATATTATTATACTTATTTTTTTTTTATTTTTTATTTTTACAGAAAATCACTATGATACTATTATCTTATTTTACAATTTATGTCATACTCTCAAGGGCATATTCATAAACACACTACCTATTATTATTATTATTATTATTATTGGTAACACAAAATTCGTTGAACTAAAGTGTGTTTAAATTTGTTTATTTTATTTTAAATTAAAAAAAAAGTATTATTTTTTATTTTTTATTTTTTAATTCAAAGTCACATATAATAAATACTTTTACCTAAAACAACACATGAATTTAAACACTTCTCACTTATGGTTCTAGATTTAATTTGAATAAAAAATTTTGCTTCCGTCTTGCCAAAATTATCTTAGTATTTCATTTTTAATTACATGTTAAATTTATGCACATTCAATTTATAATAAACATTTGATTCATTTACAATTTTGTAACATCTATTTTAATAAATAATAGTAATTTTGTTACTATTTGTTATATTTATCTCACTATTTGTTTTACCTACCACACTTTAATATTATAATATCATTATTTTTTAATCTCCGTATTTATCCAAAGTTACATAATATTTTCGGACGAAGTGAGTAATTAAATAAATTTAAAAATAATTTTGAACTCACTTGTATTCATCCAAAAGTTACGTAATATTTTCGGACAAAGAGACTAATTAAATAAATTTTAAAATAATTTTGAACTTTCAGTGAATTTGATACATGCATGCAAATTAATAATAATAATAATAATAATAATGTAAAATGTGTTCAAGAGACCTAAATGTGACTTTAAATGCACATGAAATTAAATACTTCATTGAATGTACATAAACGACGGGAGAAATTGAATTTCGCAATAAATATATAGTAGTTAAGATACTATTGAATTAATTTAATAATGCGAAGATAAGCCAAAACAAAAGCACAATAAATCACAATAGTACAAATCTTTCCAACTGAATTCCATAACAATATTTCCCAAACTAAATTAAATTAAATTAAAACTACCCTTCCATTAATTAATTTATTAAAAAAAAAAATCAACACAAATTATATATATGCACATAGTTTTCACTACTCTGTTCCAAGTCAAGTTAAATATCACCTTCATCATAAAAAAATATATATATATATATCTTTGAATCCATACTTTAATAAAATATGGCACAAAAATAGCATTTATTTGGTAAACGTAAATATATACATATCAATTTTATTTTTTTTTTTTGTTCTTGTTCTTTTAGAAATATATATGATAAAAGACACAAATATATTTTATAAAACAAAAATAAAATAAAATGAAGTGACGGATTACTTGATTTATAAAAATTATTCGAATAAATAGTTAGTGGGCTAAAAGCATGTTGGAGTGAATTGTATTGATATATCTGTCCAGAATACGACCATATAAACTTCTGAATTGGCGTAAAAGGGCCGCGCATTACATTTTGGGCTTAGCATTTTTCTTTATTTTAAAAAATATAAACTCATGGATCTGCGCAAGGGCTGCGCATTACACTTTGGGCCGAATTTTTTTCTTTATATAAAAATATGTATTATTACGATCGTATTAACTTTTGGATCAGTGTAAAAGGGCCGCGCATTACACTTTAGGCCGAACTTTTTCCTTTATTTAAAAATATGTGTTATTACGATCATATAAACTGCTGGATCAGCGTAAAGGGGCTGCGCATTACACTTTGGACCGAGCTTTTTCCTTTATTTAAAAATATGTGTTATTATGATCATATAAACTTCTGAATCAACATAAAGGGACGGCGCATTACAGTTTGGGCTGAATTTTTTCCTTTATTTAAATATATGTGTAATTTTAGTTCGGTTCATTAATAAAATAATTTGAAAATATCATCCAAATTCGTTTTTGATAAATATATTTCAAATATTTTTAAGTTTTAGAATGTAAGCTAAGTAGGTTCGATTGCCTTACTATTTAAGATTATTGTTAGCATTAAATCTTCTATTACAATTTAAATAAAATTCCTAATGTTAGAAATATTGATATTCAATAAAATTTTATTGAGTTTATACGAATTGAATCATGGATATTTTTTCGATGGAATTTCAAAAATTAATACACGCTTTTATCAAAATCGACGCTTATTAGTGGATGCTTTGAGAAATTTCTTGAGTCAATTATATTCAATATCATTTTTGTAACGAGATTTTTTCGTCATTAAATTCACTTTTTTCGTTACTAATGATATTAGAGACGGAATTAATGATGGAATTACGTTAGCTACGTGATCTTTAGTGACGGTATTCCGTTACAAATATACTATTTTTTTATTTTTTTTTATTTTTTTTGTAGTGATACTTGTTTTAAAATTTACTGTGTGAAAATAAAACAAATTGTGCTGCGCTCAATGATTATATATATATATATATATGATACAATTTTAATAACTATTTCATTTAAGTTTGATTGTAGAATTCACATTTGCATTACTATAAAATGTGCATGCAATCTTTATATTATTTGCTCGAATTAGTGATTATTTTTATTTTTATTGTTTTTAAAGAAGCTTGATTAAATACTAGAATAAATTATACGTTACAATTTACACAAATATTTTTATTATAAAATAAAAAATAAAAATAAAATCTTGGAGTGTAAGAAAGTAGGTGTGAATATTGAAAGAGGAAATAATTTCTCATTTATTGTGAGTTAGGTGCATAAATGGAAAACAATCTAGTGGCCTGCACTAATTTGCCTTCTGTCCTTTAACGCAACTGCACCTCATTCATTGTGCAATTTATTAATTTACTAATTTACCCTTCTTCATTTTCATACTACATTTCTTTATATCATCGACAGGGTAAATACATACGCATATGTATATATATATATATATATATTTCATATTATTAACATTTTATTTACTTATTTTTAATTCAATCTTACATCTTATTTCATTTATCATTAGACTTTTAAGTATTCGAATGTAGAAAATACATGTTATTGGCATGTATGAATATATATATATATATGAATTGTTTTGCAATTTAATACTTAAAATCTTATTTTTAGATAATATATAATTTCATTAACTATTAATGTTTTACTATTCAGGTTATATAAAATGCACGTGACTAACACATGCGATTTTTTGCACGTGCCGATTAGGAAAAAAAATATTAAAATAATTATTTTTAGTCTTAGAATGGTATTTTAAAAGATGTATAATTTAATTTACTGAATGGATTGTAATAATTATATGGCACAAAATATACGTAATTGACACGTGCAAATTCACATGTCATGTAATAAAGCAAAAATAAAAAGAAAAAAAATGATATTATTATATTTTTATCATTTCGATATTTTGAATCATATTTTAAAATTGCATATTATTTCGTTTATCAAATGCATTATAATATTTATATATCGCAAAATACAAGTGCGATGTCACTTGTGGCACGTGCAAACTCACGTGCCAAATGAAAAGATAAAAATAAAAAGAAATTAATATTATTGTGTTTTTAGTATTTTTCATGTTTTGAGTTATATCTTAAAATCATATTTCATTTTATTTATCGAATATATTGCAATTTTATATAGCCTAAAACTAATATACATGCAATCTTACGTGCTGAATTAAAAAAAAAATTAAATAAATAAAAAGTTGCTCAAACTTTTTTTATCATTTCAATCTTTTGAATTATATATTAAATATGTACATTTTTTTCTATTTGTAGAATATATTGTTCGGATGGCGTGTAATACACGCGCTATCTCACGTGCCGAATGAAAATAAAAGTTGTTCCAACTTCTTTTTTTTTTTCCTAATAATTTTTATATTGTGAATTATATCTCCAAAAGATACATTATTTCATTTACAAAATATATATATATATTGTAATATGTTCCTAAAGCGTAAATTTACACGTGACTGATAGGTGCGACTCACGTGTCCTTTGAAAGAAAAATAGAAATGGAAATCATTTGAAATATTTTTATCATTCTAATATTTCATATTCTATTTATGAGAGAAATTCATCCGGCCCATTTATCATCGATACTTTGAATTTTTATAGAATAAAACATGCGCGTGCCATACACGTGCGGTGTCACGTGCGTTTTAATTAAGAAAATATCAATAATTTGAATACGAGATTGGTTCAAACACATTTTCACATAAAAGAATAAAACAAATCAAATTTAAAACAAACAATCAACAATAATAATAATACAACAGAAAATATTAAAAATCGAAATTCAGATTGGTATATGGGATTGAAAATCCAAAAGGCAAATCATCAGTTTTCAGTAAACACTGAAAATATATACCAACAAAGTTTATAGCATAAAATTATTATTATTATTATTACTATTACTATTAAAATTATTATTATTATGATATGATTTCTGTCCCTCTATCTTTACAAAAGAATCGAACCGTCATCCGGTTCGGGGCAGATCGGGCGGGGGCGGTTCAGATGGAAATATTGAGGTCCAGGCGCGGCTTCTTGGCGGCGGCTGCAGGGAGAGACACGGCGCTGTTGCATCGAGGGCAGCGCAGGTTGTCCACCGCGACCAGCACAAATATCAGACATTGTGGGCACGCGACGGCAAAGGTTGTCGGAATATTCTCCTCCGGCGGCATCAGATCGGCGGCGGAGGCGGAGGCGGCGGCGGCGGTGGATGAGGTGGAGCCGGGGGAGGACGATTTCGAGTTTGAGGCAGACATCGAGATGGCGCGCTTCCTATCGGCGCGGTCCAGTGCAGACTTGACCCTCTCCAGCGTGCACATCCCCTCGAAGTTAGCAGGCGGAGGCGGCGGCGCTACGGCGGCGGGGAACGGCGGCACCAGCTTCAACTCCAGACTGGCTTCAAGTTCGTCGAACAAGCACCGGCTCGGCGGCGCCGGGGGGAAGTTGAGATCCGCTTGCAGCCTGGGTCTCGGATTCGGGTTCACAATCGGGTTCGGATCCTGGACGGCCGGCAGTACTGCATTAGTATTGCACCGCTGGAGATACACTCGCCCCGACTGCACATTTTTAATCCAACTTTTTTTTTATTAAATATATATATATAATCAAAATCGAAATCCAAATAGAAAAATAAAACCTTCAAGTCGAGACGTTTCTCCCAGCCGAGGGGGACCTGGATGTCCAGGTCCAGCTCCTTGGACGCCAAAGCGCGGCTTGCTCCCAGAAGGTCCCGAGTGATCGGGGCCGTCGAATCCGACGACTCGTTCCCATCAGCGCCGTTCATCTTTTTGACCAGAGTGCGGAAATCGGCGGGCATGATTTCACCGGAGGAGAAGATCTTATATTTTTTTTCAGAGAAAAAAAACTTGTGAGGAATGAAGACCGGGGGGGGGGGGGGTTTATATTTATTTCAGGGAAACGGGTGGGATGGGGTGGGGTGGGGGGTAGGGGTCAGAAATTTCTATAATTATTTTGTGGAGAATTTAATGTAATGATGATTTAAATTGTTATTTATGGGAAATTTATTTTCATAATTAAATTTTCTGTGGTATTAAATAGAGGGAGCCTTTAAACTAGTGGTGACAATAAATGCCCTCCAAAAAATAAAAAGAAGGGCACTAAATATACAGTTGTGAATTAATTAATGGACTGAAGAAAATAAAAAAATATACTCCCTCCATCCCAATTAGTCTTGTTTATTATTTTTATCTCTTTTAAAATAACAGTTTTATTTTCATAAATAACTATATTACTATAAAATTATTTACTTTTTCATTTTTATTAAACAATTGTCACTATTTTCTACACTAATACACTCATAAGGATAAAAAAAATTTTTTATCCGTATTTTTTATCAACTACCAATATATACTCCATCCGTCCCGTGTCTGCTACACTATAGACACTGTATTTTAGAAGGGGTGTAATTAGTAGATAATTAAGAATGTATTAGTGAAAATAATTATCTTATAATATAAATAATTATAAATTAAGATTAAGATAACTAATTAGTTTAATTAAAATTTAAAAAATTAAAATTAAAAAATTTAAAATGAGATTAATGTGTGTAATCATTTTCAAAAAAGGAAAGTGACATGGTATATGGGACGGACAGAAACGACAACGTGGACATGGTATCTGGGACGGAGGGAGTATCATTATTTCTTAAATTTCGTGCTCAATCCAATTAACACTATAGTTTTGGGACGGATGAAATATATAATATAGACCACTTTTTTGGATTTTATTTCTATTTTTTGAAATTTTATTAATTAATACTGATAATATTAATCGGTTTATATATTTTATTTAAATTTTTCGAAATTTTGAAATTTTTGTTAGATGCACTTAATCACACTTTGTTTCAGTATTAATTGCATGTGTTGTGTTTGGATTATTTATTTTTTTATTTTTAAATATATATGTGTTCAATCTATTTTATCTTTTTCTTTTCTTTTTTGGTGTTTGTCCATTTAATTTAATTTGTTTACAATTTCATATATTAACTAAATCGTGATTATTTATTGGATTAATTCAATTTCTCTTTATATTTACTTTTATAAAAATTACAATTCGCAATATTTAATTCTATTTTCTTTTTTTTATATATATAAAAGTAGATTTTTGGAGATTTCGAACTAATCCATTATTATTTCTGACACAATATATTAATTAAAAGTCGAAGTCGCAACCAATTTTTAATATCTCGACTTTATTTTTTAACTATTCAAAATCCTCAAAACAACCGAACAATAAATTTTCGGGTAAATTTTTAAGACATTTAATGTAATATGACTGAAATATTTCAAGATTTTTTTTAAAAAAAAATTAAAATATTTTTATAATTTACATCGATAAAATTGTAAAGTTTTTTTTTTCCATTTTGAATATTAAAAAAATCTAATATTATTATAAAAAGTTATAAAGTTGGATTCGACGTTATCCTCGACTAAAAATGAAATTTCCGAAATAAGATATAATGAAATTTTCTTTATAAATTTTAAAAATTACAAATTCAATTATAGCTATTTCCAAATAAATAATTAGATATATGTAATAGTCTAATGTGTTAAAAATCAGATTAACAAAAGTCCCTCATTAATAAAATATTTTATTTCCTTAATTATTATAATATTTTTTTACTATAATAAAATTTTATGAACAATTGCAATATTTCACTAATTTAGAAAAGGCATAAACAAAATCTAATATTATTATAAAAAGTTATAAAGTGGATTCGACGTTATCCTCGACTAAAAATGAAATTTCCGAAATAAGATTGGGATTGAAATCGAATTATTAAAATTGTCCAATAATATTTTTTTCTAAAAGTGTGACGTGTAGATGATGACATATTTAAACCACATATACGAAATATTTTAAATAATAATATATAATAAAATATACCAATAAAATTTTATTTATTTATTTATTTTTTTACTATTAGTGCATTTATGGAAATTGACATTTAGATTTTAATTTCGGCATTTAAAAATTTATTTAATAAGTTGGTTGGTTATTAGTCGTTATTGTTCTTTAATGTTACTATATTCCATTAATGAAATTTATTTTCCGTTTTTTATTTAATATAATAATGAAACTTAATTAATGGATTAGGTATTGACGTTGAAAATATTCGGCAAAATTTTAAATGCCATTTCGGTGTAAATTATTTTATTTTATTTTATTTTTTAAATTTATTGCCGAAACATGTATATAATATGTTACATTATATAGGGAACATATTGAATTATAATATAAATATGTAAATGATTAATAAGTGAAATAAAGTAATTTTTTTTTGGAAATATATTATTCAGCATTGATGAATACTTTTCGAGATGGGAAAGTTCATAAAACCTTATTGTAATTAGATGTTTGGAATAATTATTTTAAAAAATGGATTATAATAATTATTATTACTCCCTCCGTCTCACATACCGTGTCTGCTACACTGTAGACACGGTATTTTAGGATGGGTGTAATTAATAGATAATTAAGAATGTATTAGTGAAAATAATTATCCGATAATATAAATAATTATAAATTAAGATTAAGATAACTAATTAGTTTAATTAAAATTTAAAAAAAATAAAATTAAAAAGTTTAAAATGAGATTAAAATGTGTAATTATTTTCCAAAAAAGGATATGTAGGACGGATAGAAACGACAACGTGGACATGGTACGTAAGACGGATGGAGTATTATTTTAAATATTGTGACTTTATATAGGAATTTCATGTAAATTTTATATTATTATTGTTATATGAAAATCAAATTTCAAATTTATTATATGAATAATACGTTACGAATTTGTTTAATATAGTATAAACAATTTATACAAAATTGTCATGTATTACACGTACCTTCTATTACAAAGACATGTTACGTGGGTGTGACTTTTTACTTTTTTTCTAAAAAAAAATTCAAAATATTTTTTTTTTTAATTATTCAATATTATTCAATTTCAAATTAAAATAAAACAAAACCCATAATATAACAACACGAACCACATAATTTGTGAGTATTTTATTTAATTAAAATTTAAATTGGGATTTAATACATATGATATTAATAAAATTAAAATTGTGTGTTTTATTATTTTAATAAAATATTATACCATGTAAATATTATTGTGTAGAAAATAAAATTTTATATAATAAATATATATATATAATTATTTGTTTATGATTAATATTGTTGAAATATTTTAAATATTAAATATTTTAAGATTTAATCGATTCAAATTAAATTTGATTTTCATATATTAAATTATTTAGATTGGAATCTATTGATTCTATTTAATTTTACCTATATAGACCTTTTATTTTGATATTCAATACAATACAATTTTCTAGTTTTCATATTTATTTTAATATAGTATTATAACCTATTTTTCTTCATTAGAGATTTTCGTTAATATTCTATTTAGAGTTTTGGTTTCCGTTTGCGTTTGGATTTGAGAGTTTTGTCCGTGTATTTATCTGCTATTGGTATGTCATGTTTCTCTAGAGCTATATGTTTAATTGCATTAAGAGTCTCGTCTTTTTTAACTCTATTAAGAGTCTCGTCGTTTCTTACTTTATTTAGGGTGTGTTTGTTTGGAGGTTTGAATTTTGAGTTGAGATTTAAATACAGTAATAAAAAAATTTGAATTAGAATAATTGTGTGATGTAATATAAATAGGTGTTAATGTGATGTTTTAAATGTAAAATTGATTTTTAGAATAATATAGAAAATGAAAAATAGATGTTTGACGTGATATTTTTGGAAAAAAATTTGGATGAATAGTAAATTTTTGGCAAAATTTCTCAAACAAACACACCTTCTATGTCCTGTTGTTTCCGACTTTATCAAACTCAAGTTGATTTATGTTGTACCACTTCAATTTGAGGAATGATGAAATATTTTAGATATTTAGTTTTAAATTTAAATTTAGATGTGATCTTATCTGTATATTATACTTCATTCGTTCTTTAATAGAATAAATGAGATGTACGAAAATAAAAAAATAAATATGATAAAAGTGGAACATAGGAAGTATATTTTAGGTATTTTTTAAAATAATGCTAAAATTTTTGAAAATTACTTGACCGCTCGCCACCTGAGCCAGATTGGACCGGGACCACGGTAATCCATTCCATACTAAATATTTTGACAGATACAAGTGCACTCAAAATTTCAGTAGGGGTAAAATTGCAAAACAAAAATGTTAAGGTATTAAACTGAAAATACTTGATAGCTGAGGGGCAGATAAGCATGTCAGTTTTCGCTCCCAACTGACTATAAAGTTGCAGCGGCCTTGAAAGCCTGAACTTCTCTTCCTGTTTGCACCTTCGCCGAGCGAGAGGGGCTGCTGCTCGCCTCTGTCCATACCACAGGCGATTCTCCGACGCCGGTGCTCGACAATGCCCTCACAATCCTCCCCCTGAATCAGATTTGGCTCCGATCATGGGGAAGAAGATGCTCCTTTTTGCGTTTTCGTCGATTTTTATTTTGTTCGTGGATGCTGCTTTGCAATATGATGCTTACCGAGAGATTTGTGCGGGTGCGGAGAAGGTAGTGTTGGGTGAGACCAAAAGGATAATTTTCGAACACGAGAACGCAACTGCGCAATTGCTGCGGCTTCTATTCCACGACTGTTTTGTAGAGGTAATTAATGCGTTGTTTCGAATGGTTTAATATTCAGCGTTTCCATTTCCTCATTTTCTGCTGATAGTATTAAGTTAGTTTCATGATCGATTCGTGCTATTTCAGGATTGGTTTTGACGTCCGCCTTTTACGACTCCTGTTTTTGTGTGTACAGTTTTGTGAGGTTTCCTTTATTGTGATGGGAATTATCGAGAAATCTTTGCAGTGTCGAACGATGTTCTTGTAAAGGTTGTGTTGTTGGAAACTTAACAATCTTAGAATGCTCTGCTGTTCAGATCTTATGATTAATTGTAGTGATGCAGCCACTTAATGTTTGAGTGTTATCCCCACATTGCTATATACATTTCCTGCATAGTAACAGTTTTCAGTTGCTGAGTTGCCTCTTAATGGATGATGTTCTTTGTATTCTCCATTGAGCATATCTTTGTAATTCTGTACCAATAGGAGCTTTCATTAAACGATTTCTTATGCAATCTTAGCTAACAGGACTGGTATGACACATGGTTTTGCTGCTTCTCTCAGTTGTTTAACCTGATGGTCATGGCTAGTAAATTGAAATACATTGTCTTGTTATTATCTATTTTCTTGCATCTCTTTGCACGGTGCATCTAATCCGGCGTCAATCTTGATGATCTTACACACACTGTCGCCTTTCAGGGCTGTGATGCCTCTGTGTTGCTAGATGATAGCAATGGAACGGCAAACCAATCCACAGAGCGACGTGCCTTACCAAACAAAACCCTGAGAGGGTTCAACCATATCAATCAAATAAAGGAAGTGGTTGAGAACGAATGCCCTGGAGTTGTTTCCTGTGCTGATATTCTCGCACTTGCAACCCGTGATGCGATTGCTTTGGTATGCATAACCACATTTTATAAAGCATCTTCATATCGATTTTTATGATAGGTGAGGCTCCTTCTACTTGTCATCTCGTATGTGATTGATTATACTTTACCAAAAGTTGCTAGCTAAACTTTAGTTAGTTTTAACTAAAGACTAATTTTCTCATGGTTATGGACTTATGGAGCACATAGGGATTACGCGGGTGGGTTCCTTCAGTGAGCTTTGATATAACAAAGTCACCTGATTTGTTCGCCTCCTTGTTGTGCAATGATCAAAAGCACAACAGCTTGTAAATTGTATCATTTGTTTGCATCAAATTGTGTAGAAACATCTACAATTGAATTGTGTGTAAGAGATGTTAATGTTATTTGCATTGCTCCACATGCTACTCTCTTGTTAATGAATTCCTGCGCCGCAGCTTGGAGGGCCGTATTTCCCGGTTTTGACAGGAAGAAAAGACAGCAACCATTCGTTGTACGATAAAGCTCTAGAAGGAATTCCCCGACCCGACAGCAGTATATCAGAGACACTTCTTCTCTTTGCTCAACATGGATTCAACGCAAGGGAGACCGTCGCTCTATTGGGTAATTCCCATTTTTCGAACTCAACGTGTCCGTTTCCATTTCCATTATCCTGTTTGCGTTGTCCTTCTTATTTCTGCCTCTCCCCACACGAAAGGTGGCCACAGCATAGGAAGAATTGGCTGCGAGTTCATCCAGTCGAGGCTCAACAGGACAGATGGATCTGTTCCTCTCGATTTCCAACACGAGATAAAAAAGAAGTGCCAAGAAAAAGATGGCAATGGCAGCGTAAGCATCTTAGACCTCAGAGGAAAATCTCGGATCCTGACCGAAGAAGAAGATATGCAGTACTACCAGGGACTAAATGCCGTAGAGAATCCCCAAGGAGGAGGCGGATTCGACAGCCATTACTATCAGGCCTTGAAAGTCGGAAGAGGCCTTCTTACAGCCGATCAGGAACTGATGGCCAACGAGGAGACGGCTAAAGCTGTCTTGGACTACGCCGATGATGCGAAGCTGTTCAGGATCGAATTCGCTGTTGCCATGATCAAACTTTCCAACCTGAACGTGCGCATAGGGTCGGACGGAGAGGTGCGGCGCCACTGCTCTATTGTGAATTCTTTGTTTTTCTCTTCTTCCTCGTCGTCTTGGTTTTCGTCTTCGCCTTCGCCTTCGCCTTCTCCTTCTTCTTCTTCGTAGAAGGCTGATGCTTGGACAAATATTTGCAGGCTTGCAAGAACTCAACAGGTTAGTGTAACTTCAAATTTTTTGCTTTGCAGCCTTAATTCTTACACGGATCAAAGCCGTTTTGATGCTTTTGGGGGCTAATTAGACACGAATATTTGTGTGTTCTTTTCATGAAAAAGTTGTGAGTTCGTTGTATGAAATGTGAAGTTCTGAATGCATTTTTGGAAACTGAAATTTTTTAGGATTAGTTCAGCGGACATGACTAAAATGATAAAAAAGAAAAATTGCTTATCCTTACATAAAAATAAATTTTAGACCATGATATTACATAAACGAAGTAATTGAGGCCCTTAAATAGGTCATATAGTGCAATATAATTAACCTGGTAGATGGTCCGGCCGATATTGGCACTTTACCAAATGATAGTGTTAAAATTTAATCGAATTCGATAATTGATTTAATTATTATTAGTATTATTTAATTATTTATTTTTTTAATTATCATTCAAATAGAAATATAGAATTATAATATAGATCAATATATAAAATACTATCTTGTCTTCTTGATAGATCATTATCTACGAGTTTAACGACAAATTTATTTTATTGTAGTATTCAAAATTTTATATATAAAAATTATTGTCAATTTTGAGTTTGTTCATCAAAGTATTTTTTTATGGTATGGTATTCTATAAATATTAAAAAATACAATATATATATATATATATTAACATAATATATACTCCTCCATCCCATTATAAATCCCATGTCACAACTGTTTTAAATAAAACAAATGTAGATTTGAAAGTACTAGTAATATATAAATACTTCCTTCGTCCCGTGTCAATGTATGTATTTGGATTGTTGTATGATGTGATATAAATAGGTGTTGATGTAATATTTTGAATGTAAAATTAATTTTTAGTATAATATTAAAAGTGAAAAATAGATATTTTTGGAGGAAAAAAATGGGATGAATAATATATTTAAAATCTAATCCTCCGAACAAACACACCCTATGAAATAGATGGTATCGTGTATTTTGAGGCTGCTTGTATTTTCATGCACCCACTCAAGATCAAACTCAGATAGTAGCCTCCCAGCTGCCTGGCCATTTGATCTACAAAGGCTAACATTTTATGTTTGATGTTATTTGTTTTGTTGATTTCCTGACTTTACAACTTACAAACACAACAGATACCTTTACAATGGTCGACAGAGTAATATAATATAGGGAGTCATAAATCAATAATTCTTTCCTCATCGGACATAAATTTATTTTCTTAAAAAAATCGATAAAAAAAATTCCTAGTAAAAAAAAAAAAGGGTATTTTTTTTACTAAATAAATCATTCCTGAATGTTAAAAAGGAAGCAGTCAAAAAATGCATTCAGAACTTCACATTTCATATAACGAACACAACTCTTTCATGAAAAAAGAACAAACAAATATTCATGTCTAATTAGCCCTCAAAAGCATCAAAATGGCTTTTTGATCCGTGTAAGAATTAAGGGTGCAAAGCAATAATTATGAAGTTACACTAACCTGTTGAGTTCTTGCAAGCCTGCAAATATTTGTCCAAGCAGCAGCCTTCTACGAAGAAGAAGAAGAAGAAGGAGAAGGCGAAGGCGAAGACGAAGACGAAAACCAAGACGACGAAGAAGAAGAGAAAAACAAAGAATTCACAATAGAGCAGTGGCGCCGCACCTCTCCATCCGACCCTACACGGACGTTCAGGTTGGAAAGTTTGATCATGGCAACAGCGAATTTGATCCTGAACAGCTTCGCATCATCGGCGTAGTCCAAGACAGCTTTAGCTGTCTCCTCGTTTGCCATCAGTTCCTGATCGGCTGTAAGAAGGCCTCTTCCTACTTTCAAGGCCTGATAGTAATGGCCGTCGAATCCGCCTCCTCCTTGGGGATTCTCTACGGCATTTAGTCCCTGGTAGCACTGCATACCTTCTTCTTCGGTCAGGATCCGAGCTTTTCCTCTGAGGTCTAAGATGCTTACGCTGCCAGTCCCGTCTTTTTCTTGGCACTTCTTTTTTATCTCGTGTTGGAAATCGAGAGGGACAGATCCATCCGTCCTGTTGAGCCTCGACTGGATGAACTCGCAGCCAATTCTTCCTATGCTGTGGCCGCCTTTCGAGTGGGGAGAGGCAGAAATCAGAACTACGACACAAGCAGGACAATGGAAATGTTAAGTTTGAAACATGGGAATTACCCAATAGAGCGACGGTCTCCCTTGCGTTGAATCCATGTTGAGCAAAGAGAAGAAGCGTTTCCGATATACTGCTGTCGGGTCGGGGAATTCCTTCTAGAGCTTTATCGTACAATGAATGGTTGCTGTCTTTTCTTCCTGTCAAAACCGGGAAATACGGTCCTCCAAGCTGCGGCGCAGGAATTCATTAACAAGAGAGTAGCATGTGGGGCAATGCAAATAACATTGACATCTCTTATACACAATTCAATTGTAGATGTTTCTACACAATTTGATGCAAACAAATGATACAATTTACAAGCTGTTGTGCTTTTGATCATTGCACAACAAGGAGACGAACAAATCAAATGACTTTGTTATATCAAAGCTCAGTGAAGGAACCCACCCGCGTAATCCCTATGTGCTCCATAAGTCCATAACCATGAGAAAATTAGTCTTTGGTTAAAACTAACTAACTAAGTTTAGCTAGCGACTTTTGGTAAAGTATAATCAATCACATATGAGATGACAAGTAGAAGGGGCCTCACCTATCATAAAAATCGACATGAAGACGTTTTATAAAATGTGGTTATACGTACCAAAGCAATCGCATCACGGGTTGCAAGTGCGAGAATATCAGCACAAGAAACAACTCCAGGGCATTCGTTCTCAACCACTTCCTTTATTTGATCGATATGGTTGAACCCTCTCAGGGTTTTGTTTGGCAAGGCGCATCTCTCTGTGGATTGATTTGCCGTTGCATTGCTATCATCTAGCAACACAGAGGCATCACAGCCCTGAAAGGCGACAGTGTGTGTAAGATCATCAAGATTGACGCCGGATTAGATGCACTGTGCAAAGAGATGCAAGAAAATAGATAATAACAAGACAATTTACTAGCCATGTCCATCAGGTTAAACAACTGAGAGAAACAGCAAAACCATGTGTCATACCAGTCCTGTTAGCTAAGATTGCATAAGAAATCGTTTAATGAAAGCTCCTATTGGTACAGAGTTACAAAGATATGCTCAATGGAGAATACAAAGAACATCATCGATTAAGAGGCAACTCAGCCAGCAACTGAAAACAAGAGATAACACTCAAACATTAAGTGGCTGCATCGTTACAATTAATCATAAGATCTGAACAGCAGAGCATTCTGAAATTGTTATGTTTCCAACAAGAGAATCTTTACAAGAACATCGTATCGTTCGACACAGCAAAAACTTGTTCGTAATTCCCATCACAACACACAAAAACAAGAGTCGTAAAAGGCGGACGTCAAAACCAATCCTGAAATAGCACGAACCGATCACGAAATTAAACTTAATACTATCAGCATAAAATGAGGAAATGGGGACGATGAATATCAAACATTCGAAACAACGCATTAATTACCTCTACAAAACAGTCGTGGAATAGAAGCCGCAGCAGTTGCGCAGTTGCGTTCTCGTGTTCGAAAATTATCCTTTTGGTCTCACCCAACACTACCTTCTCCGCACCCGCACAAATCTCTCGGTAAGCATCATATTGCAAAGCAGCGTCCACGAACAAAATAAAAATCGACGAAAACGCAAAAAGGAGCATCTTCTTCCCCATGATCGGAGCCTAATCTGATTCAAGAAATGGATGATTGTGAGGGCATTGTCGAGCACCGGCGTCGGAGAATCGCCTGTGGTAGGGACAGAGGCGAGCAGCAACCCCTCTTGCTCGGCGAAGATGCAAAACAGGAAGAGAAGTTCAGGCTTTCAAAGCCGCTGCAACTTTATAGTCGGTTGGGAGCGAAGACTGAAATTCATATCCGCCCCTCATCTATCAAGTATTTTCAATTTAACACCTTAACAATTTTGTTTTGCAATTTTACCCCTACTGAAATTTTGAGTCCATTTGTATCTCTCAGAATAGTTACTTTCTCCGTCTCAGATAATAAAAGATTATTACTGTAGATACCAATAATTTAGGTAAAATATAATTAATAAGTAATTAAAAAATTTATTAGTAAAAATAAATATTGTATAATAAAAATAATTATAAATTAAGATTAAACTAACTAAATAATTTAATTAATATTAAAAAAATTTAAAATTTAAAATGTGATTAAAGTGTATAATTATATTTAAAAAAAAAACAAATTACGTAGACGGACAAAAAAAATAGAGACAAATTATATGGAACAAAAAAGGATAAATTTATATGATTTAAAATAAATTTATTTGTTCACAGTCAGAGAAGACAAGAATCCGCTAATCTAAAAATATTCTAAATACAAAATTAGGAATCCATTTGAAAAAATAAAATAAAAATTCTTAATAACCCCAAACAAACACGCACTTGTCTTAAGATTATATGTGTCCATGTCTGTGGCAGCATGAACTTCTTATTTGTTGTCTTCTTTATTTACTTCACAGCTACCTACTTTTAATTCAAATTTTTTTTTTTTTTCATTTATATACTCCTTCCATCGCAATTTGTTTATATTTTTTATTTTCGTTTATTTTACATAATTTTTTTTAAAAATATAATTATGTACTTTAATCACATTTTAAATTTAATATTTAATATTTTTTTTGATCTTAATTAAACTAATTAATTATTTTAATCTTAATCTATAATTATTTTTACAAAATAATAATTATTTTATTAATACATTTTTTAATTACTTACTAATTATATTTTATCTAAATTATCGTATTTACAATAATACACCCAAAATACATGGAATGGGGTATATAATAAGAGTTTAGTATATATGAATAAAGTTTTTTTTGTTATATAATTTGGAAATTTGATTTGATTTAGTTAATGAATATTTAGAAAATATTTGAATTTGAATTTTTTTATTTGTTTGTTATTGTTAAGTATATAATTTTGGGTATGTTTGTTTTGCCTAAAAACCCTAAATTTTTGCTATTTAAATTCTTCGTTTCTTAAAAAAAATATATATATTTTTAACAAAATATCTCATTATATCTTATTTTAATATTAAATTCAAATTATTTTTTTTTTAAACTCATCTAAAGAAACATGATATTGTTATTATATTTTATATATAAAATTTTACAATTAATTTTTTTATTCTAAAAATTCTCAAGAGAATCACATCTCAAATATATATGATTGTATTCATATCCAATAAAAAATAGTTAATATAATATTTTAATAAAAATAATATTTAATATATTAAAATAATAATAAATTATGTATACTGTACTATAAAATATACTTATTTTTTAAAAAAGAAAATTATAAAGAAAATGAAAATAATTTTAAATATACACTTATTTTTTTAAAAGAAAAATTACAAAAATAAAATAAAATAATTTTAGATTACAGAAAGTCTATTAAATTATAATTTAAATAAAAACATAAATAAAAATTTTAATTCCAAAAGTATATTTAATATTTTAAAATTTGAAAGAAATTATTCCAAAAGTCTTATTCAAGAGTTTTTTAAAAGCTTTTTTATATTTTTAATTTAAATATTTCTTTTATATTATATTAGATATATCTAATAATTATTATATATAAAATAATCATACAAATTGAAATTTTTTTTTTTATCAAATCCAAACATACACACCATAATTTTTTTTATTTTTTAATTTATGACGTGAAAATTCTATCCGAAAGTGCAAATCAAATAAATTTTATGACCTCACGGAAATAATTTCATCCCATATTATTAAATCATTACTTACGGAATAGGCATCCCATCAAAACAAAGGGTGTCTTATGTTATGTATAGTCTTTTAGTCTAAGATGTAGTAGTATATATATATATATTATATATATAAAATATAAAATTAATAATATAAAAAGATATTTTTTACGCAATATATATATTTTTTAAAAATAATATATATAATACTACAGTTGATCACTTTTCAATGTCAATATTTGAAATAATAATATTTAATTAATTAATAATAATAATAAATTATGATATTAATTTATTATTTTTGTTAAATAATTAGTAATATTGATAATTTTAAAATAAATTTAATATTTATATTAAAAAAATAAAATATGTATTTAAATATTTTTAAAAATATAAAATAATAATGTGATATGTTACGTAATTAATTAAATTGATATATATATATACATATTAGTTAACTAATTTTGATTTATCAAATTTTATCCAAATTAAAAATTTATGAATTGTTATACTCCTAGAAAAAATTAGTTTTTGAGTGAAGTAATGATATGAATTTTACCATTTGTAATTTCATCAATCGAAAATTGGATATTATTTCAAAACAAGTAAACAACATCGAGTCGTGGCCCGCAGCCGATTTCTTTAATTCAGTCATCATTTTGATATTTGATCCATCAGGTCAGGTAGGAAGCCATTAATACTACTGAGCAAGGGCACACCATACCGTCGTTGTCTGGTGTCGGAAAAGTCTTCCGAAAATTCCTCAGAAAACGACGATACACCGGACATCAAGATTGTGTTTTTTTCTCGCCGAATTTACGCACTTAATCTCACTTTATCTGGTCTAGTGCTCTGTGGAACCCTTTTCACACCGGACGATGGAGCTGCGGCAATGGCGTGTTTGGCCAACCGATTAAATTCTTCTCAGGTAAACCTTTACTGATTCCATGATTCAACTGATTCCGATCCGTCGTTTCTATTCATTGATGGCTGTGGGTGTTCACCGCGGCGGATTATGGACCGCTGATTTTGGGAATTGTTTTTTTTTTTTTTTTTCGGAAATTAGGGCTCTTATCGAATTGAACGATTCTTACAAATTTAGTTGTGCGTAAACCCTTGCGCCTGGAAGTAGCGAATTCTAGGTTTCCTAATTTGAAGGTTTAATAATGGTTTATATATTAAGTCTTTTGTGATGTTCTTGTAGAATGCTCACTTGATTTTTGTTACTGATTATGTGGTGATATTCCGGGCGCCATTAGAGAGACTCTTTAGGAGAAAAACATGGAAAATTTCCGATATATATTATGGCATTCTTTCTGCAGAAGATGTTTTCCCTGTTTAGAATTTTAACCAAGAAATGTTCTCTTTTGGCAGTGTATTGATCCAGAATTTGTTAATGGTGCATAGTTCGACTTGAGTTTGGAAATGTGCATCAATACTGTCTTAGATGTATTTTTCGAATGCCGCTGCTGAGTTTGTTTTCAAGTCAAGTTTTTGCCTTCTGGTGAGAGTTGCAGTGCTCCTGATTTGTTTTTGCCAGTTCTCCTCAATATCGTGGCACCGAAAGTTGTGCCAATTGAGTTTGTGTTTAAAAAAGGGTGGAATCAGAAATCCCAAAATGGAATTTCCGAAGAATCGTAATTATGTGCAATTACATTCCTCAGAACATGGAAAAGGAGATTACGGTCCCGAATCATGGGTTGCAAAGGTGGATCCGTTGAGTCATGCTAACGTAAGCGTGAAGCCTCCAGAGATTGCGTTTTCTGAAGTGAAACCTGTACTTAATTACTCTATACAGACTGGTGAGGAGTTTGCTCTTGAATTTATGCGTGATCGGGTCAATCCCTGGAAGCCATCCGGTACAAATATTTTGGGGGATTCGAGTAATGCAACCGACAATATGGCGGCGGTAAAAGGCATTAAAGGAGTTAATCATACTGGCTCAGATAGTGGGTCAGAGATGGTTGCGCCATCGCAAAAATCCGCCAAAGAATTGGAGCTACAAATTTCGGCTAGTCTTGGCCACAAAGTTAAACATGGGTATCACTCCATGCAATCAGTTCCTCAAGCTTCATCAGGCTACACCAGTCGGCAATCATTAGTGTGCACCTCATCTGAGGGTTCTGGGAGTTCATTGACCAAGCTGAAGTTTCTCTGTAGTTTTGGAGGTAGAATCTTGCCTCGCCCAAGTGATGGAAAGCTCAGATATGTTGGTGGTGAAACACGCATCATACGGATAAATCGGGACATCACATGGAAGGAATTATGGCAGAAAGCGACTGCAATATTTGATGAGACTTGTACTATAAAATATCAGCTTCCTGGAGAGGATCTTGATGCATTAGTCTCCATTTCGAGTGATGAGGATTTAGTGAACATGATGGAGGAGTGCAATGTTCTGGAAGACGGAGAAGGATCAAAGAAACTTCGGATGTTTCTATTCTCTCCTGGGGATTTGGACGATGCGCAGTTCACTCTGACCAATCCTGTTGGTGATTCAGAGATTAAATATGTAGTTGCGGTCAATGGTATGGATGCTGGATCTCGCAAAGGCTCTATGGCATATGGTTTTCATAGTGCTTCTGCAATCGATTTGAATGAGTTAAATGCACTGAATCCTAATAAGGATTCAGGCGACACATCTTCTGAATTTGTTGGGGATAGGAAGGCGGATTTGTCTGGCCTTGTTCTCCCTACAATGGAAATTGAGCCTACGAAACCAATAGCACCAAGTGTCTCTAAAGCTTTTGAATTTGGTGAACATGCACGCCCTGACGAAGAAAAGAAACATTCTTCCGAATTTGATTATTTATTTGACCCTCCAAATTACATGGCTCCTGAAAATGACGCACCACAATCTTCTCATACATATGCTCCTGAACAAAGAGGCCTAGAAGGCCAGTCTGCAACTGGCTCTAGCACATTGCGCTTCAAAGAGCAAGACGCAAAGGTGAAGCCTAAAGTTGATGGCTTGATTCTACAAGAAGGTGAAAGCAAGCAAATTACTAATGAGCATTTAATGCCGTCACCGCTGCATAGTGATAACCTTAAAGCCAGTCCACCTGTTGAAGAACCATTGGTTTCCGTCCCTAAATTGGATAGAGAATCTTCATCCAAGTCTTTGAAGGACAACGTAGAGCCCGATGAACCTATGCAGACGACTAAACCTCTTGATGAGCTCCCTACGTCCAGTGACAATGAGTATTCTGCCTCTGCTAGCACTCATGCTCCTGAATCCATTGACTCGAAGTCTGATCCTGTTGATTTCAGCTACAATGAGCCTCCTGTTCCGTCTCAGAGGGTCTTTCGTTCTGAGTGGTTTCCGCGAGAGCAGGCAGAGTTAAACAGAATATCAAAGTCGGATGATTCACTAGGTTCTCAGTTTCTTGTTAATCAAGCTCACACTAATGTGTCACAGCAGGATTTAATGGCAACATCTGCTGAGAACTCACAGAAAGGGCACGAAAATATTCCTAATGAGCAGTTAGTTTCTACAGGAAAGCCTTTTCCTTTGGAACCTGAATTCATCGATGATGGGCTTACCAGAGCTCAAGTGCAGAAACAGGAGCCCCTTGAAGGTAGAGACTCCTTGTGTGAGAGTCAAGTTCTCAACGCTGATATAGAACATGGATTGAAGTTCACTGCTGAGAAAAATGATGAATCAGTGAAACAGTCACAAGATCCTATTCATTTGGTTGAAGTGCCTTCGACTCGATCCAACACTAGTGGTGTCCCAACATGGATAGCAACTCCAGAAGGAACCGGTTTTTCTGTTCCTAGGAAGGAGCAGGGAGACATTCTTATAGATATCAATGACAGATTTCCACCTGAACTGCTGTCTGACATCTTCTCTAAAGCTATTCTTTCTGATAGTTCATCTGGTTTTGGGCCTCCGCCGAAGGATGCACCTGGCATAAGTGTGAACATAGAGAACCATGATCCTAAACACTGGTCCTTCTTCCAAAGACTTGCAGGGAATGAGTTTGCAAGAAGGGATGTTTCTCTTATTGATCAAGACCATGTCGTGTTTTCGTCAGGACTCACAAAAGGTGAAGAGGAGGCTCCTTTAGCATATGACTTTGTGAGTCATGGGGGAGTGCAGGAAACATATGGTGAAGATGACCGGACAGAAGCAGATGGAGTTGGAGTTGGCTCTACGGCTGTCAATTATGCTTCATCACAGGTAAAGCTGAGTGAAGCCTTGCGCTATGATGGTTTGATGGATCACACAAGAGTTGGTTATTCCGGATATGAGGTGATTCTTTCTTCTGGACTTTTGAAATTGGTTTATCAGTGAAAGTCAATTAACCTTATGTTTAACTGTATTCTAGGAGGATATCAGAAAGATTGGCTTACCTCCTCTGGATCCATCTTTGATGAATTTTGACATCAACTCATTGCAGGTTTGTACATTTTTTTGATCTTCAGAAATGATTGTAGCAGTGATAGATTTTCTTTTTTCTTTGCATCACTGCTTTGCAGGCTTGAACGTAATTTTGATCTTTGGAAAATGTTATACCAGTGATAATATTTCAATCTATTTATTATTCATTTATTTTCTTTTGGTTTGGATTGTCTGCCTATCATCAAGTTTAAGGGCATACTGTTGCAGTGGTTTCTGGTACATGGAATATTTCCCTGCGGCTGTTTAAAACAGAGTTAGGGTGTGTTTGTTTGGGGATTGGATTGGATTTACACTATTCATCCAATTTTTTTCCCCCAAAAACATCAACTCGAACACCTATTTTTTATTTTTTATATTATACTAAAAATTAATTTTACATTCAAATGATCATATCAACACCTATTTATATCACATCATATAACTATTCAAATTTAAAATTTTTACTATTCAAATCCCAACTCAAAATCCAAACCCCCAAACAAACACACCCTTAGTAAATGAAACCTGATTTGAGAGGGTTAATCAACTATCCAGCATTTCTTGTTCAAACTGTTGAAATTTATGGTTTTCCAAACCCAATTGTTAGTTTTTTTTTTTTTTTTTTCCCTTGCAATTGTTAGTTGCAACATAATGAGGTACTGAATAAAGTACCACCAAGTAGTATTCTAAATTGTTTGATTAATTTGCAGATAATAAAAAACGCTGATCTTGAAGAACTAAGGGAGCTTGGTTCAGGCACATTTGGGACTGTGTATCATGGAAAATGGAGAGGCTCTGATGTAGCAATCAAGCGCATAAAGAAGAGTTGCTTTACAGGACGTCAATCAGAGCAAGAGAGACTGGTAATCATTTATTACACTAATATTTTGATTTATATTACTGAATTTCCCTTTTCATCGACTTTAGTAAATGTTGGTGTTTCACTTGTGTGCTTTAAATTCTTAATCAACAACAGCATACTTCGCTCTTCATGTCAAGCCAATTAAATGATTGAAATATTTGTGTCTTTCATTGGTTCTTCTTATGTTAACGTATTGCATTTCCTATAACGGAAATAGCATTGACCAATATCCCCACTTTCAGACTGTTGAATTTTGGAGGGAAGCTGAAATTCTGTCCAAGCTTCACCACCCGAACATAGTTGCCTTTTATGGTGTTGTACAAGATGGACCAGGGGGTACATTGGCTACTGTCACTGAATTCATGGTTGATGGTTCATTAAGACATGTTCTACTTCGGAAGGATAGGTAATACAAGGGTACTTAACCTCATTAAAGTTGCTTTGGCATGGAACACCGATTCTACTATAAATGGGGAAAAAAGCTCGTCTGAGATACTCAACTTGATTCTTTTGAAGCTTCTAGTTTCCTTAGTTGCGACAATTTCCATGTGATTCATATTTGCAGGCATCTTGATCGACGGAAGAGGCTTATAATTGCCATGGATGCTGCATTTGGAATGGAATATTTGCACTCAAAGAACATAGTGCATTTCGATTTGAAATGCGACAATTTGCTGGTTAACTTGAAAGATTCTTCAAGACCTATATGCAAGGTTTGTTGTCTCTTTTGGATCATTACCTTTTCTGTCAAGATGATGCATTTGGAATTAAGGTTTTCAATGGTTACTTTGTTTGTGATGTACATTAGATGTTATTGTCATTACCCTAATTAATTGGTTGAATCATGGCATTCAAATTTTCAGGTAGGTGATTTTGGTTTATCCAAAATAAAGCGTAACACCTTGGTTTCTGGGGGAGTACGGGGAACACTTCCGTGGATGGCTCCTGAGCTGCTAAATGGAAGCAGCAATAAAGTATCTGAAAAGGTCAGTTAAGATCATGGCTTTATTTACTTTGGCTTTGCGCTTTTGTTGTGTGTTGAAATCTTAAAATGAGTGCAAAAACATCCTTGTTTTGTGGAATATTGGAACTTCGTTTGCGGTACTTAATTAGAAGGGAAACTCACCATATTCAATGTCCCAAAACAGTCATAGATCTCTAAATTGTTTTTCATCAACAGGTGGATGTCTTTTCCTTTGGAATCGTCTTGTGGGAGATACTTACCGGGGAAGAGCCATATGCCAACATGCATTACGGCGCAATCATAGGTGAGTCGCAGAAATTGTGCCGACAGTTGGTAAATTAACTGGTGTGAAATTCTTTTGATTAAATCTCTTTTTCGTTTTTGGTGGATAATTATATACTGAATTTGCTTGGAATATGGAAACTTATAGTCGAACGGAACCAGGAATAGTTATTTATCTACCCTTTGATAATTCAAGTAATATGTCGTCTGGTTTTATTCCTTGGATAAATCCCTGTTACATGTGCCGGCATATGTGTTTTGCTTTAGCTCAAATTTTACTCCAATTTGATCCTTGCAGGTGGCATTGTGAACAACACATTGAGGCCAGCCATTCCGAGCCACTGTGATCCCGAATGGAGAAGATTAATGGAACAGTGTTGGGCCCCGAATCCTACTAAAAGGCCGTCATTCACTGAAATAGCAAGCCGGTTGCGAGTAATGTCTGCTTCTGCCCAGACCAAGAAGGCTGCTGCGTAAGTAACAATCTCCATGTCTCAGTGTCTCTATTTCGATATATTTGTTCATTCAATTGTTTGCATTCATAGATAGAGAGTGTGCCGAATGAATGCAGGACCCGGCGATCAAATAAGTTAATCAGACCCTAGCCAATATACATATACATATACATATACATACACATACATATCTATACATATATGATGCAAACTTGCATACCTGTATATGTTAAGTTTTGAGAGGACATCTCAACACCTAGTGATGGCACTCTTTGCTCTATAGTGAATGAACAGTTTTCGACCAATTACCCGATTTCTAGCTTAGTTCATTGCATAAATCTTCATATTACTAATTTTATCGTATGCGTCCTTGCTCAAGATGTGACGGTAGGTTTATAACAAGACTTGCCATAGGAGTATGGATTCTTTAGAACTACGGATGCGATTATCTATGTTTGGCTTCACGGATTTTACACTTGATTCTACTGATTTTACTCACCGGTTTCTTTAGAACAATAGAATCGCAGGGAAGCGTACGAAAGCTTTATTGAAATGAATCGACAGCGGAAAGAAGCGAAATCAGGATCAAGAAGGCATACTAACATTGTTCAGTTGCCAAGCTGAAGCCAACATTATAGGTCTTCCTTTCCAGCCAAGCTGAAGGCATCCTTTCTCACTCCTAACAGTGTATCCATCACACCCATATTCACACACCATTTCTCTAGCTTCCTCGGCGCACGTCAATCCCACCGCCTGAAACCCGGCCCGGCCCAGCTGCCTCCGCCACTGATCCGCCCTCTCGTGCCTCTCCACTCTCTCCGCGCCCTCGTACGCCACCACATTGCGGATCTCTTCAGCAAAGTGTAGCTTCTCTATCTTGGCTCTTTCCGGGCTGTCCTGCGGGAGGCTGGCGTCGAGGGAGTCGAATACGGCGGAGTAGTAGTGGAGGGACTCGAGGAACCGGCCGAGGAAGAACGGGCCGTTGTGGTTGGCGTCTTGCTCGACCACGACGAGGAGGGACGGGCTCAGGTTCTTTATCGATTGGAGAATGGTTTTCAATGAGCCTCGACTTTCTTTAACATGCTTGTGTAGATGATTTATGCTGTTGACGAATAGTGCCTCGCCTTCTCTCAGGTCGAGCTTCTCCGGCGACAAGGATAACGGAGAAACCTGCTCTGGTATCATGTTAAATTCGATGTAGATCCCGGTAGACGTAGCTTCCTTGAGTAGCTCCCTTACGCTACTCTCGAGCTCTGATGGATCTCGTTCCCCGACGACACCCGTGATTCGGATTTCTCTCGGGTGCGCGCCGGGTTTGGAAGCCAAACCCCTCACCAATGAACTCCATTGGAGTGTATGCTCCATTCCAAGATCCACAATGTGGATCGACTCTTTTCCCGTTGCGGCTCGTCGTACCGCGTCGTTTGCAGCCAAGTGACCGAAGGCGATATAAGGGGTCGTACCGTGCAGCAATGCGAAGGCCTCGAATTTTTCCTCCCGACTGACCAATGAAGCGGCGGTGATGTCGACGTCGCCCCTATTCGCATTTTGCAAGAGGGCTAATCTCGACTTCAGCCCCGACGCGAAACAATGCGCCACGCGTTGCAACGAGTCGCCCGAAGGGCTGACTCGAGGCCAGATTTGGGCGAGTATCGTCTCGGCTAGCCAAGCATCTCGACATCCCACGGCCTCCGCGCAAGCCAATAGTAAATGGACCAAATGTAGACCTCGATCAACCCCGGTGACGGCGATGTTAATTGCATTATCATCGTCGTCACCGTGACATTCGACGTCCATCGTCGATGCATCTTCTACCTCTCGGACTTCATCGCCGCGCCATTTATCTGCATTGTCCTTCTCGTAGCAATCCACGTCGAAGAATTCATCGAAAATCTCCTCGACCTCGTCGGAAGACAGTTGAGGCATTTCGTCGAACACTTCCGGCCACATCTCATCGGACCATCCTTCCTCCTCCGGCAGTTCCACCCGTGCAGCGGCGCAGAACTGCCGAATGGCGAAACCTTGGTGGTTGGCTAACCATTCTCCGACCATGATTAGATTGAGGAAATGGCTGTCCCGGCGGGTGATTTAACCATGGTTTGGAGTGAGAATATTCTCTTCCTTAGTTATGGATGTTCATGGAGATGAATGAATAATAACGGCGAGGAGTCGGCCAACAAAGAATGAGACAAAATTCGAGTTGGCCTATGCTCGATCTGGTATTATAACAATGTCTGAATTTTAGCAATCATCATTCATAGCTGTCAGAAAAATCACAGATTGGTTGGTTCAGCTAAAGCAAAGCAGCATCCCAATTTCCACCCGTTAGCTCAACATCCGCACACCTAAAAAACGCTTGTCACTTTTAAATTACGACTTTATGTTTTCTTTTTCGATATGTGACAAACATCCTGCAATATTTTTAAAATATAAAATAATTAATTATACTTAATTTATATTCCACATTTTATCCCCGCATTATTTAAATAAAAAAAATATATATATTTTTCTCTTCTTCACATCACATAAGTTTAATATATATTTGAATACTATAAAAACACTCTAAATTGAAAGTAGATCAATAGGCAACATATACTTGAGTTAATTGAAAATATTTATACTATTGAGATTAATAACAATACATACTCTTTTTGTCTTATTTTAAATGATATGTTTTGATTAATATATAATATTTAAGATAATAATATTTAATTAATTAATAATAGTAAATTATAATATACTTTTTTTTTTTTTTTAAATAACTTTATTAATAGCTTTATTAATATGTACTGTTCCTTGATGTCTTATCAGTGTCAATGAATATATCATTCAACGTACCATAGAAAAACAACAAATATTTCCCACAATAATTATAAAAGTAGCTATATTATGAAATCTTTAATATAATATACTACTAAAAATTTAGGCCTTAAATCTGTCACCACTTCTAATTAATTTATTTAAATATCCCCAATTCGAGAGGTGACACGTGGAACATTGCGGCGGGGGTGGCAGAAGTCCCAGACCAACACGTGTCCCAGGTTTCGATACTCCCAGAACTCTCTTCTTCCCCTTTCTCTCTCTTTTCCATCGGTTCATATTCAAATTTATTCCTCTCTCCAATCCATCTTCTTCTTCCTCTCTATAACACATCTGCAACTCTCTTCTTCATCCTCCACAACCACATGGGTAAGCTTATACCTAAATCTCACCCTTAATTTAACATATAATCAATTAATCACTTATAAAAATTAATTTTTTTTTTAAAAAGAATAAAAAATTTCAATTTCTATGTTGTTCCTATTCATGATTATCGGCAGCGGAGCAGTACTCCCAGCAAGCCTACGCGGCGTCGCCGCCGGAGCAGCTGGCGGCGTTCTGGGCGGAGCAGATGCAGGAGGCGGAGCAGGCCCGGGAGTTCAAGAACCAGAGCCTCCCCCTGGCCCGGATCAAGAAGATCATGAAGGCTGACGAGGACGTACGGATGATCTCGGCGGAGGCCCCCGTGGTCTTCGCCAAGGCCTGCGAGATGTTCATCCTGGAGCTGACCCTCAGGTCCTGGATCCACACCGAGGAGAACAAGCGCCGTACGCTCCAGAAGAACGACATCGCCGCCGCCATCGCCCGCACCGACGTCTTCGACTTCCTCGTCGACATTATTCCCCGGGACGACGACGCCACCTCCGCCAGGTCCGGGACCACCGGGGCCGGGATCCCCTTGCCCTCCGCCGCAGCCGACGCTATCTCTAGTTACTATTATGCGCCTCCTGCGGCGGCTCCGCCGCCGCCCCCTATGCCTTTCATGTGGCCGCCGCGCCACCACCAGAGTGAATCGTGATTCATTGATTAATTGATTGATTGGGTTTTAATTTGCGATGCTGCTCCGGGTGGGGGCACAACTGTCATTTCGTTCTTTTGTGCCGTGCTAATGTTTCCTTGGCTATATTATTATTATATAGTCCAAATAAATTTCATAATGGATGCGTTTAGTTTTGATTTTTCACTCAAATATTATTTAAATTAAATTAAAATTCAAATAAATCGAATTTATGAAATTTGGGCCAACAAGGCTCATAGATGGATCAATCTTTTGGGCTATTTTTGTACTTAATTTGGTTCAATTCGGCCTTAAAAGTTTGTTTGTTAAAATAAAAAACCAAATACAAATCATACGGCTCAAATAAATTTGGGCCGGGTCATTTGCTATGGTGCAGTTTATTTGGGCCATGCCTATTAAGGGCCCATCTTTGCAATTCGGGTAGGGCGATTTGACCCAGTTTACTCGGCCCAAATATTAATGTAAAAAATAATACTAATAAATTTTCATTTTCATTTCCATTTATATATAAACGTAACCTTCTCGATTCTTCCGCAGTCTCAACGAGTCCGTGATCTCTTTCTACACCACACTTAGTGCGCTCCTCTGGAAGTTGCGACCGAAGACCTTCATTTCTATCTCGAGATCAAGTGTAAGTTTCGTAGTCTGTCGTAATCTTCTTGCCCGAAGTATGATACGTTGTAACTGTTGGTCTGATTCTTGTTTCTGTTTTGTGTTTGCTTAGGTTTTTTTTTTTTTTTTAATTTGAATTAGCGAGATGGCGACCAAAAAGAGCGTCGGATCGTTGAAGGAAGCCGATCTGAAGGGGAAGAGAGTGTTTGTCAGAGTAGATCTCAACGTGCCTTTGGATGATAACTCTAAAATCACTGATGACACTAGGATTAGGGCTGCAGTCCCCACAATCAACTACTTGATTGGCTATGGCGCTAAAGTCATCCTCTCCAGTCACCTGGTATGTGTTAGACGAGTTTTCAACTCGAATTAGGGGATGATTTGATGGTATTAGTTTTAGTTGCAGTTTTTTACCTAGTTATATCAATGCTCGTTCTTCTTATGGTTTTCTCTTCTTAGATTCAACTTCATGTTGTCATTTCGTCAACACTTTTTTAGTGTGTTCCTTTGTATTTGATGAAAATTTGATCGGCATTAATTATGTACTCGCGCGCACACATATGCGATAATTGGTTAACTTTTTTTCATATCGCTGTAGAGATCTATGAAATGAAGTTTTAATGGTTATACTATGTTGTAAAGTGGTGTACTACCTTCGATTTGATTTTCAGGGGCGTCCAAAAGGCGTCACGCCAAAGTACAGTTTGAAACCTCTTGTTCCCAGACTCTCTGAGCTTCTCGGAGTTGAGGTACGCCTGTTACGGATCTCTCTAAGCATGTCCTGCAATATTAGCTTACTTATCTAACCGCCAAGATATCTATAGGTGAAGATGGCTAATGACTGTATTGGTGAGGAAGTTGAGAAGCTGGTCGCTGCACTGCCGGAGGGTGGTGTTCTTCTCTTGGAGAATGTTAGGTTTTACAAAGAGGAGGAAAAGAATGATCCAGAGTTTGCAAAGAAGCTTGCATCCCTCGCTGACCTGTATGTGAATGATGCATTTGGAACTGCGCATAGAGCACATGCTTCTACCGAGGGTGTTGCTAAGTACTTGAAGCCTTCTGTTGCTGGTTTCCTTATGCAGAAGGTGTGTTGTTGGTAAAATTTTCTACTAGTTTTATCTGACTGAATCGGAAAAGTAGTTAATCTAAAGTAAAGTTTAACAGTGAGTTATGTAGTGCTGTGCTTCTGAGATTCCATGATGTTGTATTCCTGATCCTGAATTCTTCAGATATATTTTGCTTAAATATAGAGATATTAATTGAGTATAACATTTGTCGGTTAAGGAATCATGCCTGCTGTTGTGTACATGCTCTAATATCTACATGATGTTAATTTCAGGAGCTTGATTACTTGGTTGGTGCTGTGGCCAACCCAAAGAAGCCATTTGCTGCTATTGTTGGTGGCTCAAAGGTATCTTCTAAAATTGGTGTTATTGAGTCGCTGTTGGAGAAGGTAGACATCCTCATTCTTGGTGGAGGAATGATATTTACGTTCTACAAAGCTCAAGGAAAAGCTGTTGGATCCTCCCTTGTCGAGGAAGACAAGCTCGATCTTGCAACTTCACTGATCAAGAAGGCCGAGTCTAAGGGGGTGTCTCTCTTGCTTCCTTCTGATGTTGTTGTCGCTGACAAGTTTGCTGCCGATGCTAACAGCAAGGTAAGCCCTTAAAAAAATGTTGTTACATCCTTAGGCCATGTTTAGGATGATTAGATCATTTATTTTTAGTCTCACTTTCCTTTTAATCTCCCTTTTCTTTTTAGTCTTTCCAATAGATTTATCAATTACTAATTTTGGCGAAGTCAACTACATTTAATTATTATCCTTTATTCAATAATTCTTTACAACAAATGTCAGTACCTTTAATACATTCTCCAAAAATACTCCTAATTACTTTTTTATTTTTATCGTTTTTTCAATAAAATATTTATTTTTCTTAATCTGTGTGTCAGGCCTAAATATTCTAATTTTTGCTGACGGAGGGAGTATTTACTTTATTAGATTAAGATTTTGGAGTAGAATTAAGCCCATAATTAAAATACCATTGATTACATCGAATAAGATATAGTTTCTTAACATGATGGATGCTGTAATTATTTGATCTTTAGGTGGTTCCTGCATCCGGAATTCCTGATGGGTGGATGGGTTTGGACATTGGCCCCGACAGTATCAAAACATTCAACGAAGCTTTGGACACTACCAAGACCATAATCTGGAACGGACCCATGGGTGTGTTTGAATTCGACAAGTTTGCAGCAGGAACTGAAGTAAGTATTTGGCACTGAATTCATTTCCCCATCGAATTCCCACAATCAATTCATATCATCCCATCTTTCTTTCAGGCAATAGCGAAGAAATTGGCAGAAGTGAGTGGTAAGGGAGTGACGACAATCATTGGAGGAGGCGACTCTGTTGCTGCTGTAGAGAAAGTTGGTCTTGCCGACAAGATGAGCCACATCTCGACCGGAGGGGGTGCCAGCCTGGAACTTCTAGAGGGGAAACCACTTCCCGGTGTTCTTGCCCTTGACGATGCATAAACGTCCAGCTAAGAATCAATCAATCAATACCCTTGATTGTTATGTTTTTGGCTTTTGCCTGCCCGATTTATAACATAAAAAAATATGTTTTGAGCTTGAGCTGCTACTGCTGTTTTGGTTTTGTAGCCTACCTGTTTTAAAATAATCTCTGCCGTATATTTATTTATATCTCAGAGATATAATAATATACACTTTAGTGTGCGGAATCATCGACCAAATTTTGGGTCATTTTTATTGTTATATGGTATGATATTTATTGTTGCTGTCAATTTGGCGAGTTGCTTTATCGTGGTAATTGACCATTTATGGTCTGTATATATAATAACGCTTCCTAAAGTTTTGGAGGTATCATTATTAAGTGTTGTTCAATGATGGTGCTTTTGAATTTTGATGAATGTAGATTAACTTAATAGTAATAATAAAAAAGAACGTAACTTAATAATAATAAAAAGAAAGAAACATATTTATGAATGTGTATGTAGCAAAAAATATAATGATTAACTTCGATCGCGATGGGACTCGAACCCACAATCTCCCGCTCCGGAGGCGAGCGCCTTATCCATTAGGCCACGCGATCACACATTATTAACTTTGTTATATTATATATACAACTAATTAACATTATAATTGCCTGGACACGCCATGCACAGATAACACGCCATTTTCTTTCTGTGTTTTCTTAAGAATTTTATTATATTTCCACTGTTTTCAACCAAATTTTTATCCCTCAAAAGACATTAAATTAAATACTAAATTTTCACTTTTTATATTATATTAATAATTTATCACATCTATCATATCTTTCTATGTGACATTTAAATACAAAATTTTAAATATTCAAATTTAAACCCGAAGCAAACACACCCAATTTCCCACAAATTTTTATTCACGCCATATCCATGCAACTCACATCACAAACATTAGATTTACAGGCAGATAGATATCCAATAATATATATAGGAAATGACTAGGTTCATGATTATTAAGCAATACACACATATAACAAATGACAGGTGAAAGGTTCAATAAATAAGAAAAGAACAGCTCTGATGGTTTTTCAGGTCTTTTTCACATTCCCTATTCCTCCTTCCTCACAACAATAAACACCCTTCCATTCCATTCCATTCTTGGGGTGTATGTATGTATCAAAACTATGGGATTCAAACATCATCGTCGTCGTCGTCTTCGTCGTCCGTCTACTCCTTAGTAGACGATACTGGTGTGTCCGGATTTGCTCCCCATTCCGTCCACGACCCATCATACACCGGAACATCAGTCTTCCCCAACCGGTGCAGGCCCTGAATAATAGATGTATTTTTTAATTTATTAACATCTTCAAAACTCCATTCCTGATTAAACAACAAATCTTAAAAATAAATATTCGAAAGAAAGGCTCACCAGTGCCAGAATACAGGCAGTCACACCGGTGCCGCATGACGTCATTACAGGGCGGTCCAGTGAGATCCCTGCAGAAAATCAAGTGTCACTATCAATCATTGTGAAGCCATTTCAAGACAGTAGTTTCAAATGACAATCTCTGTTTCAAAATTAGAAGACTAAGCTAAGGAAAACAATAATTGCCACATAAGAAAAAAACATGAATTGAGAGAATTCAAAACACGAAATAAGTGTGTCTATCTAACCTTCCTGTTCAAACCTCTTCCGGAGCTCGTCTGCAGGTAAGAGTGTTTGCGAGCTGTCCAACATCTGCCAGAACCACCATTACCAAATGCTGTAAGAAAACTTTAAAAAAAGCAGCGATAATATGATCGGATCCTTGATGTTTCTAGCTTTATACAAGCAGCACATTGCATGTTTCAAAAAGGTTTTACCATATACTTATAATTAGTATCATATCCATCCTTTTGAGATGCATGAATAGCAACAAAAAAAGGGCAAAAATGCATTCGTGGGGAATAAAAAGAGAAACAACATTCTATTTTAACGAAAATGAGAGCTAGCATGAATCACACTCTAAATATGGCATATACGAGAATGGAAGAAAAGAAGAAAGATAAATGACAAAAAAAAAAAAAAACAGAGTTGTGTCAGTATATTCATTTTCAATGTTCCCTTGAGAAATTAAAAATCGTTTCACCTTTCCGTTTCATCACAATTCTTGGTGAGTCAGAAATAAGTTTAGATTCAAATTCAAGATTTCAGAAAGCTAAGCTCTAGTTCAATTATGTTTTCCAATCATCAAATGCCTTATACCTGGCCAAAAGGGATGCATTTGCTCCCTGGAACATGACCACTTCTGATTCCTTTTCGAGGCTCTGGTGCAACTCCATCAAATCTGTTAGAAAGACACTAGGTGAGATATTAATTGGTTACCAAAAGTATCTCATACAAGACTCAATGTCAATGTAACTTTTGTTTAAGTTTATCAATAAGATCTATCCATTGGTTCTAGCCTATACGAATACATCGACAGGCACATTTGAATGCATTAATGCGGTCACTTCTGAAAGGCTTATTTATAATGAAATCATTTGCCTGAACACTGTTACAAATGGTTTTGGGTAATGAGCAATCACATATACTAATGAGACTAAACGACAGACCCGGTTATTAATAAATATACCTAGCCTTTGAGCGAGCATCAACATGCTGATGTGTTTTCTCCTCCATATTGTTCCGCACCTGAAAATATGGGATAAATAATAATGTGAATGTCAAATGCATAATACTTAAATTGCACATATAGAGTCGATCACAGAAAAATTTAGCGTAGCAGCTACTTGATAATCAATAGAACAAAATCCTGCATCCAATTTTCTCTTCTAAGTTACTACACACAAAAAGGGCAAAGGTAAAACTATATTTCGGGAAGCAATCCCAAACAATGTGACAACAATCAAACCATGAACTGCAAGAACTTAATCAGCACTAGTTAATCCTTAATTTCTGAAAAATTGACAGCATATTTTAATGTTAAAAGAATTTCCTTCTCACTACATAAGATCTTAGCATCCATCCATTCCACCTACTAAGGAAATTACTGAGATAATGAGCCTTTTGCATAAGTTCAACAAACAACTCCTAGTCATAGCAAAAATTAACAGCCCATATATCAGGTAACAACATCAAGATTCAAGACTGAATTGAATGGAGAAAACAAGACCTGTTCAAGTGACCAAACAAGATGTGGCTGGAAGTTGGTTTCAAACGTAATTGGTCCAACCTGCAGATACCAATCACTTGTAAAACAAGGTAGGGAGGTATAAAAACAGAACACATTGATATTGAACAACTAAATCTGAATTGTTATCTCAGAGGTATATCAAACAAAAAATGCTACAAAGAAACTCGCCCAGAATCATGGATTGAGGGGAGCTTTGGGGAGTGGAGATTGATATGAGACGATACTGACCGCCTGCCCGTGGGATATTTTTTCTATTGCCTCACTAGCAGCACTAGCTTTTAGGATAGCATCGCCTGATGCACTTGATTCAACATCATATCCAGAAGCACGCCATCTTGGCAGGCCTCCATCTAAAACCCAAATCCTGTCATGCCCGAATACTCGAAACATCCTGTAATTAAACATATGTGATTACATATATGATAATCAATACAAGTCTAGCAGTTTTCAGCAGCATTTGCAAACTTTGGAACTTCAAAACTTACCACCAAACACGAGCTGCACTAAAAATTCCTTTTCCATCATAAACGACAAGCCCATCTTTATTCTCAATCCCAAGAGCTGAAACCGCAGCAGCAAATGCTTTTTGAGATGGTAACATGTGTGGCAACTATGCACAAAAATTCATTATGAGATTCCATGCACATTGAAGTGGAGATTGAGGAATGGGCACATTATTAGAGAACTCAAATGAACTACAAATACCAAAGATTCTGCAGCCAGGGTATTCAAGGTTTAACATCCTGGGTGCTTACGAAACATTATATTTGAATTTGAGAAGGGGCAAAGTATCTTACATTAGTATTTTGGTCTGATATGCCATCAACATCAAAGAAAACTGCACCGGGAATATGAGCAACCTGTTCAAATTTTTTTATTTTATAAGCAGGCAGCCACAAACTTGACAAACTGAAGGGCAGTAGAATTGCATATTAAATGACGTGTACAGTTACAGTTCCAACAAGCAAGGCCAATTTACAATAAAAATACTAAAAACAGAAAAGTATCAGCACCTTATACTCTTGGAGTGGGTCTCTCCTTTCATCTGGCATGTACCAAGAAGCATCCAACACCTAAAGTATTAACACCAAGGCACACGACATCACATCAAATAGCAAAGTAAATCCAAAAGTAAAGATACTAAGACATATAATATAAGAATATAGCACTTTCCTGAATCAGATTTCATTACCCAAAGTGTGATAGAGATGAAATCAACTTCAAAGCAAGAACAAAAATAAAAAATGATTATATATATATATATAATATTCTTACACATGAACCAAAACAAGCAAATAAAGTTACCAAACAGATTCTTGGAGCTATTTTTAATTTGTGAAATGGATGGAATAAAAGGTAAGCTCATGCACATGCAAAAAGTAAACACCAAAGCAATTGTTTTAGTCACTCTGCAAACCTTGACATCCGGCTCTCGGAGATTTGCATGGAGCCAATCAACTGAAACAACAGGCTCATTAGTGGATAAGGACTGGGATGAGAATGAAGCTTGCGATGCAACTGCCGATGTAGATACGCAACGAGAAATGGACCCTAGAGTTTGACATGCCAAGCGCGAGAGTACGAACCCTGGCTGAAATGATCTCTTCTGCACATACAAAAAACACAACATTTAACCTTTAAAAACTAAAAGGTTCCTAGAAGAACTTTAAATAAAAAAAAAATGCTAGAAATTATTACCCTAATAAGGATAAAAACGAATTTGAACATCTAATGCAGTTCATCAGACCTTAGTACCCTTTGGATACCGAATTATTCTATTGGGGGATTTTTGAAAAACTTTTACAAATTCCTCCAAAATGTTACCTTCAAAACATCAACTGAACTTCTTTTTTTTTTTTTTAAATATTAAATTGAAATTTAATTTTACATCAAATAACTATTCCAATATTTTAGTATTCAAAAGCCAAACAGAAAATCCAAACCTCAAACAAAGACACAAGCAACTCAGCTCGCATTAGGATTACAGAACAGGCTATGGATTCAGGATTCGTGTATCGATTATTTAGTTCAAACCAAGAACAGAAGAAAAAATAAAGCCTTAAATTTGGTATGCACAGAGCAGTAATACAGCATAATTCACGTTCCGCTTGAAACTCCAATTCGTCGAAATGAAAAGCTCTTAATATAACGACAACTAAGAAAGAAATTACCCGTACTGAAAATAAATAACACAGTCGCAGACAGCGAAAAGGAACTCACGGCGGGAACTGAAGCAAGCAGCTGCGGTCCTCGGAATCGCGATGAAGCTGAAAAAACAGACTGAATAGTACGGCCAGCAAAGACGGCTCTGGAGAAAACGGCAGACGCCATTACAGAACTCCAAACAAGGAGCGGCGAGAATCAAAATTGTCACAGAAGATTTGACCTAATTGCTAAGTGGAGACTGCAGCGTTCTTGATTAAAACTCCCTCTTCCTCCACAGGAAACAAAAACCAGATTCGTAGGAAAAAGTTCTACCGATTTCAGAACAAATTTTCGTTCCTTGACAATCGAGAATCGAATCGCCGACGCCGCTGGCTTCAATTCGCCGACACCAGTGCGACTGAAGCGGTCACCGATCGATGGGTTTCAGAAATTCTTCCTACCTCAGAATGAACGAAGATATCGAATTTGAGGCCGAATAAAGTGGGCCGAATTGAAATAGGCCCAAATTTAATGGGGCCATTTAAATGGGCCGACGTGGAATTTGGGTTAATCGAGTGGTTATAATTGAATTTGGGCCAAATTAAAGTTTGGGCTTATAAAAAATTTGAAATGCTTTAGGCCCATAAAACTCGGCCTTAAAAAGGATGCTCAGATTCCCCTTCTTCTTCAGCAAGAAATCACCGAACAAAACCTTTGTCGTCGAAGAGTCAGTGCAGTTCGGAGCGCGCAAGAAATTGAACAAGGTACTTGCTATTCTTTTCTTTCATTTCCAAGATTTACGTTTTTGTGTATTTCTGTCGTTCGAGACTGTCAATGTTGAGGTGGTTTCTTAGGAAGATTTTTATTTATTTATTTTTTTGGGGGGGTGCATTTCTGTGCGTTTTTTTTTTTTTTTTTCTTTTTCGAGTGCTGCTTCTGCTTTTCGGAGAGATCTTGAGCTCTTATTGTTTTTCATTTGTTAGAAAATCGTTTGTGCATTTTCTTAGACTTTCTTTTTTGGCCGATCGTAGAATTTCGGGGTTCGTTAGGGTTATTGTTAGTAGTAGCTTTTTGTTGATTTGTTATGTATTCGGCTTCGGAAGCTTGTTCACGCGTAAATGGTACGAGTGTTAGCTGCATGAACGAGTCGAAGATGGACTGTGTATTGATTTTAATTTTTTTTTTAAATGTTTATTCTTCAGGGATAGTGAAGTTTTGTCAAGAATTCGATGGGTGACAGCCAGTACTCTTTCTCGCTAACCACCTTCAGGTTTGCATTGATTATGCTGGGAAATGTTTGAATCTTATTTTCTTTACTGGAAAATGTTGCAACAATGATGGTTAATTTTGTCCGGGATCACAGCCCTTCAGGAAAGCTTGTTCAAATTGAACATGCCTTGACTGCTGTTGGATCGGGTCAAACGTCCCTAGGAATTAAAGGTGATTGCTATCGTATTCTCTCAATATATATTCAATGGTCTACCAACACATTTGTAATGAAAATATGTCAGTTTGGACGTTTGGATAACATATTGGCTGTTTGATAATGATGTGTGATTGCTTTAGATCAAGAATTACATGAGCAATGGTGAAAAATTGTTAAAAAGAATGATCTAATGCTTTGTGTTGTTGCAGCTGCTAATGGGGTTGTCATCGCAACAGAGAAGAAATTACCTTCGATTTTAGTTGATGAGACATCTGTAAGGTTTTCTGTTCAAACTTATTTTCAGTGCTTGTGAAGCATGCCCTTTTTTTATGTTTTAACCAATAAGTTAAACTCAATTATTGTAAACAACTTAGAAGCAAGATACATTTGTCAATAAAATTGATCTGTTTTGTTCAAGCATTTCAAGGATTATTCAAAATTTCTACCTCACGTTACTTCTTGCACAATCATTTCTCTCATATATTGTTTTTTCATTTTTATATGTCTACTTGTTTTGCCAATGTTGGGGATTGGTTTATGAGGATTGATTTCTCTGTTTTCAGGTGCAAAAGATTCAGATTTTAACCCCTAACATTGGGGTTGTTTACAGGTTTGTGATATCCTGATTTAGTCATTTGAATATGGAAAAAATTCTCTGCTGTGCTTTTGGCCGATTTGTAGAACTGTAGAAACAAATTAATATTAGGTTGCAGTGTAATGGCATAGCAAAGCCTCTTATCATGTTTGCTGATACATATATTATGCTTTAATCTGCCTCACTTGATTCAATATGTTGGAAAGAGTGAACCTTTCTTTTGTTTCATTCAACTGTAAACATGATTGTATGCTCAATTGTTGTGAAAACTTAGTACTCTTTATTCTTTATTAATTTTACGAACTTAATTTAGCTCTAATCAGGGATCTAGATCATTTGCATTTTCAATTTAATTCAAACTGCTTGCTTTTGCAATTTCCTGTTACTGATTTACTGTATACCTGATGATTCTGGTGATATCTTTACTCTTGTGCAGTGGCATGGGTCCTGATTCTCGTGTTTTGGTTCGAAAAAGCAGAAAACAGGCTGAGCAATATTTTCGGCTATATAAAGTATTTATTTCTCCACTCCTTCCACTTTAAAATTCTCCATACAACTGCGTGATATCTATCTTTTTAGTCTGAACATGTGTTTACTGTGATAGTCAGTTATGGCATCTAGTAAAATGCCATTATTTATCAAGTCACTTCTATTCACTTACGCGGGGAATGTACTCTATAAATGAATTCCACATGAATGAAATCTAGCTTTGTTGAAATCAATCTTTTCTGATAACGGTGTTGTGTAATAAAAGACGCTTGGTGGTTGTTTTGAACTGTTATAAACCTTTATTATTTAGACCTTGGCTCTTCTTCTCCTGAACTGGATATTAATTTTTTGTTTCTTAACCTTTTATTATTATTTCCTGTTGACTGTCCTTAGATCCAAATTCTTGATTTGTGCACATGATTTTGGGTTTGGTATGACTGATACTGACGTCTGTCCCGTGACATGATCAGGAATCTATTCCAGTTACTCAACTGGTGAGGGAAACTGCCACTGTTATGCAGGAATTCACTCAATCTGGGTATGCTCTGCTACATGTTTTGTGCTTGCAATGTGGTGTTTATATTCATGTGTGAGATGTATTTCTAAAGCTATTTTAGTAATTTATACCCTATGAGTGTTATCTCTAATTAGACTGCTTTAAAGACAGCCACCCCCACCCCCCCACCCCTTTAATAGACTGTGTGTTCTAACCGTATGGCTTCTTGTCATATTCATATGTGAGATGTATAATGTATTGTTGACTTCAATTTCGGATAGCCTACTATACCTAAGTGTTTTCCTTCAAATGGGTGAACTAAGAAATGGTTTGATAATGCCAAGATGTCCAAGCTTAGGCTGTACAACGAATCTGAAGTGGTTGAGACTTGCATCATCTCATATTTTTGGTTACTTGACAATCCTACGACCTTAAATTATATTGAAAATACACACACACGCACACACACCAAATGCACATACAATTTGCATTACATGCCTGCCTAGGAAAGCTAGCTTTGACTGTAGTTTCTAGCCTCATCTCAGTATGCTTCTTTCTTCTGAATCCTGTCCTTTTCTGGCAGTGGTGTGAGGCCATTTGGTGTATCACTCTTGGTTGCTGGATATGACGACAAGGGTCCGCAACTATATCAGGTATCCCCTTATGTCTTAATGTGGCATTGTTCTGTTTTAGCTGCTGCTGAGATGCTTCTAAGCACTTCTTTTGGTACTAGTGTTTCTTTCAAAGATTTTTAAAAATTTCCACTAATTATAAAATTCTTTACCTTAAAAAACATCATATCAAATACATATCCTTTATTTTTTATATTACACTAAAAATAAATTCATATAATTATTCCAATTCAATTTCTTTACTATTCAAAATCCAAACCCCCAATTAACAATTCAAGTAACTTTTTGCCGAGCGCTGATTGACCTTTATATAACTTTTGTGTCATAAAACAGCTGGTGTTTCATGATCTAATTGCATAATCTCATAAATGTTCTGAAAAATATAAAAAACAATTGTTTCTTCTGAAGGTGGATCCTTCTGGCTCATACTTTTCGTGGAAAGCTTCAGCTATGGGAAAGAATGTTTCCAATGCAAAGACATTTCTAGAGAAAAGGTTGGTAATTATGTATATTCTTCATGTGATGCTGTTGTCCTTGTTACAATTGTCAAATTTCAATTTCCTATCTTCCCATCTACTATTAAATTGCGTTTGATGCACTACTTATGGATAAATTCGATGGCCTAGTACCTCCACACAACTTTTATGTTTTATTTTTCTCATTGTTTATCTACTTCTTATTGCATTTAGTATCCTTTTTATGCTATCAAAGTTTATCAATTCGTTACCCATTGATATTTTTGCAGGTACACAGAAGATATGGAACTCGATGATGCTGTGCATACGGCAATTTTGACTCTGAAAGAGGGGTAAGTATATCTGTGCTCCATTTTAAGTTGCCGCTGACATATATTTCTCTGACTTTAGCTTGTCGAATGTATTGAGTGTTTTGTATCTATGGTTATTCGTTTTATATAAAATCACCAAAAATCGATTATAATTATCATTTATCAATGGAGCATTGTAGTGTAGCTCAATTATCTTTTCTTCACACACTTTAGAACCTAAAGTATGAAATTCACTGTCCGACATTTACTAAAATTGCTGGTCTAACCACCTGTACAGATTTGAAGGACAGATCTCAGGCAAAAACATTGAGATTGGCGTAATTGGCAACGACAAGATATTCAGGTAAGCGTTTATATCTATTTCCAGCAACAGCATACGCCTGCCTGCCCGTGTAACATTCAGACAAGAAATAACACTTCCCGATCACTTCCCTGCAGGGTTCTAACACCATCTGAAGTTAATGATTACCTACAGGAAGTTGAATAATCCTCCCCGGCCAAGATTTCTCATCGATGCGCAAACTCTTTCAATTGCTTTGTTAAGATGTTGTCCCAACATTTCCTGCAAACTCTACATTATGTTCTTACCCTTACCGGGGGATAATTACCGTAATTTGGGATTTTTTTTATAAAGCACACTGAATTTTTACAATGGTACCTATATGAACTTGTACATTATTTGCTACTTGGCTTTATATGCATTTATCTTGCAGGTCGTCGAATCGAAAATTAATTATAAAAAATAATAATATATATACACAAGTACAATTTATATAGGTGGCTTTTACTGTATTGATTTGAAAAAATTATCGATATTATATTTAAAATTTATGTTTTTCTGAACATCCATAAGTGCTTTTTAGAACATTATATGTTAATAAAATGCCAAATATGTTTTTATAGATCAATTTATTTAGAATACTGATATATTTCTTAGAGCATCAATTTAAAAATATGTATCCAATCTACTCGTAATAAAGTCAATATAAAATATATTTTTTTATAAGATATATATTTTCAAATTTGGTTGTCATACAATGACATACGTATATTTCAATAAGATATTTTATAATAATTAAATTAATTTATTATATATGTATAATATTTCTTTCTAACACAAAATACTAGTAATAATATTATTACAATGCTACTATATAATAATATTATATGAAAATATTACAATGTCCTGTAATAATATCACAAGAATATGTATATTACAATGACATAAAATTTAATTTAGCTATAAAATATAGAGAAAAGGAACGTGACATATATTATATTCTTCGTGAAAACATAATAATATTATTATTCATGGCGTTCAGACTCCCAAAGATTGTCTTATTGTTTCTCTTTTTCTTGCTTTGTGGTAAGCCTTCTTCTACTTTGCTAATTTTTCTTTTTTCTTTTTTCAATAAAATATGATATTTTAAAGAAAAATAATTTATATATGTAATAATAATAATAAGTACAATATAGTAAATCGAGATATCATTTTACAATGTTTTTCAATCTTTCTTCTATTTTTGTATCTTTAGTAAGCTTATTTTCGGCAATTGCAATGGTTTCTTTATTTCTTTATGTTAAAAATAATAATAATAAAAATTGTTTATACAACACAATCATAGGTTACTTTTTATGAAATTGTGACATAACACGAATATTTATTTCGGAATTATATAAATATAGTATATCATGTGATTTCCAATGAATATAAAGGAAAAGCTAAATATATGATATAAAAGTTTTTAGATATATATTTTTTTGCGATGAATAGTTCTAAAATAATATTGAAAACACAAACATCATAATCAAAGATGTCCGTAATAAATTAAAATGATGCAATAATTTTATTTTTTTCCACAGGGACGATGACGAGCGGGAAGACATGCAGGGAGGAATGTCGGAATTACAAGGAAATCCCGTGTGTTGCGAGCCAATGCGAAGCGGTTTGCAAGAAAGACAAGTGGGATCAAGGCAAATGTGAGGTCAACTTCAAAGGCGGCGGGTTTCCCACCTGCCAATGTTATAAGTCGTGTTAGTTAAAGCGGTCGAAACAACAATTCCAACTATATATGCATCAAATATGTGTTTGCTTGTTTGTAATAATAATTTTGTCGATCTATGAAAGCGTATTGTTGGAATATTATTATTATTATTATTATTATTATTATTAGAATTTAAGTGTTGTGGTAGTCTATGAATTGAGTTTTATTTGAAATTAGATTAGATTAACTATGGAGGGTCAAGTTTACAATTTTCTAAATGAATTTTGGACAAAGATAAATCTAAGTGTCAAAATTTAAAGATCAAGAAAAGGAAATTTTCTAATCACTGACTCAACTCTATTGTCGAATCATACTCAGCAGAATATAGAGGTACTTATGTTATGGCAGGACGGGCCAATCTGGTATTTCAGAAATTCCACGAATCCCTTGGTGGATAAGTCCGACGACTCATCACCTAATTCCGAATTTATAGAGCTATGACACAATCAAACCCCACCCATGAGTAAATATTTCATAGTAGCCTCATTAGACCGTACACGAAAATATCGGGTCCCCGCCTACGCAAGCAAATTGTTGATAAAACTCTAAAATGGCATTTTTTTTATCCGATTTTCTCTCCCTAGCATTCAGAAAAGACAAAAAAATTTCAGGCGTATTTTTTTGTTTTACGACCCGTAACTCTTCCTCAGACGGGCTTGGGCAATTATCAAATATTTTCTAAACTCGATACAATAGTAAGATATAAGATATGTGTCTGAAAGTAGGACTGATAGCTAGGTTTGAATTTGAGAGACATTAAAAATTTTGTACTACATTAATTATTTAATGTGATATCAATTATATTGATGCGATATTTTATGTGTTGAGTTAATATTTAAAATATAAAAATAAAATTGATATTTGAATTAATAGGAAAAGTAAATATTTGAAAACCCAAACAAATTAAAAACCCACATCCAAACAAAAAAAACTTACTTTATGTGTGTATTTATTTATTTTTGAGTTGAAATATTTGTTAGATGTAATAGTTTGTATTAAAAATAAATATGGAATATTGTATATTTTAAAAATAAACAATATATATTCATATATATACATATAATATACGATGGAATATAAAATTATAGTAATATAAGAATTGTACTTTGATTTTTTTTTTTAAAAAAAAAGCACAACTATTATATATTCTTTAAATACATTTACATACAATATACTCCTCTGTTTCAAGCTAATGAATGTATTTTTTCTGAATTTTTGTATTAAATTAAAAAAAAAATAAGAGTATTTTATAAGTTAGTTGAAATATGTAAGATAATTTTGATATTTTTGTCGCATGTATAATGATAGTTTTGTAATTTATGAAAATATTATAAGGTATTTAAATATTACTATATGATTATTTTTACTATATTAAAAATAAAAATAATAAAAATTGCACGGAGAGAGTATTTCTTGTATTTAGTTGTCATCAATAATATTCCCATCTTTTAAGAATATATAATTCCTTTGTCATTTAAAAAATTATTAAAAAAATACTAACGATTTTTGTTAAATGAAGTAAATGGCTGTCAACTTTTAAGTGAGACGATCATTCAAATTATTTAACATGATTACAACCTTAGGTCTTGTATTCGAATCTCATTTTATACGACAGAGAGTATTTTATAATTATTAAATTGATTTATTATATATATATATGTAATATTTCTTTCAGCTTACAATTATTGTACAAATTTTCTATTAAAACTACAACAAGATAACGGGAATAACAAAAAAAAAGCATCTTATTACTACAATGCTAATAATATTACAAGAATATATTGTAATAAAATAAATATTAATTTAGCTATAAAAGATAAGGGGAGAAGGGCATAACATGTATCTATTCTTCTTACAACTATAATTTCGATATACCATTATTTTTATTCTTCATGGCGTTCAATCTCTCAAATTTCATCTTATTTTTTCTCCTTGTCTTGCTTTGCGGTAATCCCTCTTTTTTTTTTCTCGCATTCATAAATAAAATTTGGAAGATTTTTATGATTTTATTTTTGTTTTATGCATAGTTCTAATATAACAAAGCCTCATAATTAGGAATATATATGTAAGAAAATGATGCAATTTTTTTTTTTTTTTTTTTTTTTTTTTCTTTCACAGAGAAAATGACGATGATGACAATGCCAGCTGCCGAGGCGGCGTCTGGGAAGACATGCAGTGAGCATAGTAGGCTGTATAAGGGATTTCTATGTGCTCCGAGCGCATGCGACGCAGCTTGTAAGAAAGAGAAATTCGATTACGGAAAATGTTTGAATATTGGAGTCGACATTCCTAAATGCCAATGTTATAAGGCGTGTTAAGTTGAGTGATTGGAACAACAATCCGAACGAAATAGGCGTTTGTTTGTTTGTAATAATAATTTTTTCGAGCTATGATATGAGAGCCGATTTTAATAAAATTTGATGAGTATCGGTAATGATATTTATTATTGTTGTTGCGGTTGTTATAATTGTAGGCATTTAAATATGTATATGTCTAAAATTAATTAAATATTATATATTTTAGGAGAAAATAATAATAATATAAATATGTGATATATATTGTATTGACTCTGTATAATAAATATCAACAATATAAAGATTTCAGCGAAAAAAAGATGCAATATAATCAATCTCTTCAAAAATATCTGATGTAGGTATTGTTGTAAAATCTCTTCACCGATCATTCGGAGCGCTCCATATGGCCTCATTCGAAAAGGAAAATAAGAATTCTTGGCCGAATCATTATTACAAGAAATAATATTTTAAATATTAATTATTATATTAAAACGTAGTACATATTAAGAGAAAATGACAAAAATACTTCGTGTTTTATAATACTATTATAATCACATTTGTGTAAAAAATTATACAAATATAAGGATATTTTTAATGTTAAATACAATGACGCAAAAAATAAACGAGAGCAGGACGAAGACAGTATAATTTATGGTATATTTAAAATTCAATATTTAATTTTTATTTGAGAAATTTTATGTTCAAAAAATCCTAAAATAGTATTATCAATCTAACTGTAAAATAATTTGACTGACTTTATATATAAATATAAGTATATAATATATGTATACACTAAATAAATTATTAGAGTTACAAAATATTTTTAAATTTTAATAAAAATCATATTAAACTTATTAGACTTATGACTTACACTTTTTAATCACCTTAAAAAAAATTGACTGTGATATATAAAATTTGATTATGATTTTGATTTTTTAAAAACTTGCTAATATATAATACTTTCTCCGGACCAATATAATTGACCTATTTCATTAGTGAGTAGTGACACAGTATTTAAGAAAATGATGTTTAATCAGTTAATAACAGTGAATTATGATACTATTTTATTATTTCTTATGTAATTAATAATATTAATAAATTCAAAATAACTTTAATATATATAATAAAACTAGAATATGTATTTAAATATTTTAAATATTATATCATAATAAAAAAATATATGAAATAGATGTTATTTTGTAGAGAATAATTTTTTTTATAATACAAGTAAATAAAAAAAAAAAAACACTTTTTAGATTTATTTATAAATAAAGGCGTTTTAAGTGAATCTTACATGATTTATGATATTATATATTAT